TCGCTTAGCATTGTGCTAACAAATAACATGGGAAATCCCATAGAGAAACGGCGAAGCTAGCGCTACACTTTTTACATGAAAATAAGTACAAAATATGAAAACGAACAGTCTTCTGGACTGAAGAGATATGCAGGAGCAAAATTAGCAAAACAACATGGGAGCTAGGGACAAGCCATGACTGACATACAGTGGCGCCCATATATGAACTTGGCGATGAGCTAAGTTAGCGCTCATGATCATCATAGCTAAAGTACCTTAAAACCTTCAAAACACATTTTAAACACATCCTGACACAAACTTAAGGATGGCATTAGCTTCTAAATGTTATACAAGAATATATAGACCACATGTAGGCTATGTGCTTTGTGACATTTACTCACCTGTAACTAACAGGGAAATAATGAGAAAAAAAAGAAAAGGAACTCATACTAGGCTTTTAATTGTTGATTTTTCATCTTGCTTTAAATGCAATCCAACCACAAATTTTAACTAAGAGGCTCTTAGAACAGTTTAATTTAAGTAATAATCTTGTGGGCTGGATTCTGAGCTTTTTAATTAAAAGGACACAAAGAGTGAGAGTGAATGGAACCCTGGCTGACCAGGTTTGCTCCTCCACCGGATCCCCACAGGGATGTCTGCTTTCGCTTCTCCTGTTCATCATCTACACGAATATGTGTCACAGCAGCGGAGAGGACAGAACCATTTTAAAATACACTGACGATTCTGTCAGTCTGCTGCAAGACGATGAGACTAATCACGGTCCAGTCATTCAGGACTTTGTTGAGTGAGGAATCCTTCCTCCTGATGAACATTTCCAAAACCAGAGACATGGAAATTGAGTTCCGAAGTAATGGGAAACAACAAGAGAGAAATAAAAACACAAACAAACTTAGAGATACAAAAACAGCTTTGTCCTTGCAGCTATCAGTGAGATGATCAAGACATAATGCAGAAGCAACCTTCTTTTGGAGCATTTTTACTATATTTATTGATCTCTGCACTTTTTATCTTGTCTTTCCTTTATCGTGTTTTTACTGATGGCTAATGTCGACCTTGCTTTTACTCACCATGTTTTATTGATCAGTGGTAAAATCCTATTCTTATCTTGCTTTTACTTTACTTGATTGAGGGTATAGTCCTATTTGTATCTTGTTTGTATTTGTCTTATTCTTACGATGGGTTACTTTAGCTTTTTTCTTTAGTACTGAGCACTGTTGTCACTTTATGTTTTGTCCTGTGCCGTCGTTTGTATGCAAAAAGGGGTCGACTCACGCTGCAAACCAAATCTACCTACAGGTACAAATAAAGTTACCATACCTATGTCAGTCCGTTAATGTTTATATGATTTGTTGCCGCTTTTACTATTATTTCTATTCTTTCAGTTTTTGATTCTGTTTCCATTGTAGCATTTATGACCGCTGCTATGAATGTAACCAGTTTCTTCAAATCCACGCAAACTTTCCCCTCTTCCGTTTGTTCTAGCTGTTTGCTCTTTTGGCCTTCCTTCTGCCTATGTGATTTTATTGTGCACTCTGACTTGTTGAACCTGCACCTCCCTTTTCATCGCCTCACATCCCTCATATGCCACACTGTGATTTCCTCCACAATTACAACACTTAGATGGCATACCTTTTTTACTCTGCTCATATTCATGATCCTCCCCACACCTTGCGCAGCTTCTCCTTCCTTTACATGTCTGAACAGTGTGTCCAAATCTTTGACACTTACGCATCTCATTGGTCTTGGTATATACTCCCTTACATTGTAGGTCATATATCCCAATATAACTTTCTGTGGGAGATTTTCTTCCTCAAATTCCAACAAAATGTTGTCACTACCTCTACTCTCTCCCTCTTTGAAGACCTGTAGTCTCTGTACATTCCTCAGTTTCCCTTCTTTTAGATTAGCTTTTAGTTCATCCATAAAAACCGCAGCTGGTTTTCCCCAGATCACTCCTTTATTCAACCTCATGCCTTTCTCCACACAGCTTGCACTTGACACTTTCCCACCTCCTTCAAGCTGCACGCTTTTCCTCTTTTCTCTTCGTCTTTTCAGAAAAGAGCAAAAGCGAGTTAACAAACTCTTAACCATGAGTTTGTTAAGGTGCTGTACGCCAGTCAGTCACCTGACTCTGCTGCTTCCTCCTTGGTGCAACTTCCCAGGTGGGCTCAGCCAAATTCCATCCCAATCAGAGGCTGTAACTGTGATCAGCTGATATGTAAGAACCAATGAGAAGCCAATGCAATCAGAAATAGATGTCACAGCCAGTTGTTAGCGCAGAAATACAAAAGAGAGTGATTTGAAAGTTGATCTGTGCTCCTTTTATAAAAGATGTCTTAGCATAAAAATACAAAAGATAGAACTGTTTTGAATGTGCTCATCCTATTCCGCTTATTCTATAGTATCAGTAGAACTGTGCTCTTTTTACAAAGAGCTCTAAATGTGTTGACTGTCCTTTGCATTTAATAAATACTTTTGACCTTCCAGAGGAAATTCCAATGGGTACAGACACTCATTTCTTGCAGTAATGGAATAACATTTTAGACATAAAGCATCTGGGGATTTTCTTAAATAGATGGACAGGGTTTTTGATCTGTGATATCTACACTGTGAGTGAAAAATGAAGATGTCTAGTCTGATAAGCATTCTTATCAGGGTGTGGCAATTCCACAGTACCACTGGGTACAGACAAAAACAAGCCTTAAGAATTAGTCATCCTAAATTCTGCATCTGTGACATGCAACTGCAGTTCACCAGTTCACAGTTGGACCCCAGACACACACAGAATGCATTGACACACACACACACACACATGCACACGCACACACACACACACACACACACACACACACACACACACACACACACACACACACACACACACACACACACACACACAAACTTGTTGTTTCTTGCAATACTTTTGCAACTTGTCTACTTTCATGAAAAACAGCTGAATGAATCTGGAGTTTGGATTTTCTAACCATCATTTTTCATTCTAATAAAGCATGCACTGTCACCACAAATGTGTTTGATGTATGATAAAAGCATTCTATTGGTGTACTGTCACTTGTTTTTGCATTTCTCTGATTTTTTTTTCTCAAGTTGGGGAGCTGCTTCTTTCTTTTATCTCCATCCATATTTCTTTTTCTTTGTTCAACCATTGATGCACCAACCCTTTTTCAATCACTACCATCCACTAATACTGTTATGACTCGGCACGAGAGTACGGACCCAAAAACAAAACTACGGACACAGAGGCACAATCCAAACTTTAATGTCTTTAATGTGCAACAACAAAAAACACAATGCCAAAAGAGCATTGGTAGCAAGAAAAACAAAATCCACAAGGTAGATGGAAGGTCGGGTGAATCTTGAGTGCTGAAGGCAATTTGAGACGAACAGCAGAAGGATTAATGACTGTTTCAATTTCATATGAACACTGAGAGGAATATCCTTAGCATTAAGTCCCAACCTTCTGTCCCAGAAGGTTGGGACACACACACTGACGGACACACACACTGACAATAATTTCTGATGCCACTAGAAATATTGTCTAAGCAGGCAGGCAAAGCTTGAGCAATATCCCCCTCTGCTGGAGTGTTTTTGAACTCACATGAAAGAAAAAGGTAGGCCTATAGTGAAGTGTACTGAGAATGCAACTACAAAACAAACCAATGCCTGTGTATTCTTTAAGCTGTCAGGAAGGCAATTTCTGTTTTTCTGTTTCTATGAGATCATCTCCTCATCATACAAATTTAATTAAAGCATAGTATGACCATTCATGATTGCTTATAGCTCATGCTAAGAAATAAGATAACTAAATGATAAATAGGCTACATAAACAAATAAATAAATAAACAAACAAGACTAATATTTTTTTTTATTCAATAAATGTTTTTATATATTTTTTTATTATTTATAAGAAGTTTTTATCTGGTTATTTAACATACTGTTTAAAAGTGTTTGCTTCTAAGTGACATACAAAAGCAAACAAGACCATTGGGATTCATTTTCTAATCCTGTCACTGCTGCTTCTTTGTATGGAAGCGCATTGCATTCACCAAATAAATAAAAAATAGACACATTATCTCATAATTACGAGATAAGATCTCTTTTTTTTTTATTCGGTGAATGCAATGCGCTTCCATACTTCCGTACAATAGGCCTATCAAAAGGATTTTAGAAATGGGGAAGTGTCATGGGTGGTTCTAGGCAGGGGCCAACAGGGGCCAGTGCCCCTGTAACACTGAGCTTGGTCCCCCCTGTGGCCACCCCTCCAAAAGGAAGAGCCCCCCTAATAACACATACACAGTATTTGACTCAACAACCGGACTCACAATCTAGTATAAAATACTGTTAATTAAACAAATATGAATCATGGTATTTAATGATGTGCACTTTTATTTGGCATAATATTTATATATTTTTTAAAGCAATCATCTTTGTCTATTTTTGACCTGGGTTTAATGTCCCCCTCTGACAAAACAACTGGCCCCCGTTTGGCCCCGCGGTTTGGAAGAAGAAGAAGAAGCGTTATTTTCTTTTAAGCTTTGCTTGGCTAGCATGAAAAAGAACACTTGATTGCAAAAGCAATGATTCATTTCCAACATGCCACAGGATTATGCAAAAGTATAAATAAATAATTAAATGTATAAAAAAATAAAAGAATGAATAAATAAATAAATAATTAAATGCGTGAATAAATAAATAAAAACTGGTAAATAAATGGGACATAAATAATTAAATGTCTTAAATTTATTTCTACATTTATTCATTTCCCCATTTATTTATTTATTTCCACATTTATTTATTTATACATTTATTTATTTCATTATTTCTACTTCTGTCAGGTCTCGTCCTCCATACAGGATTACGTTCAAGAATTTAAGTTATGTTACGTAGCATGATTTAGTATCTGTCTACCTATGGAGGGCAGTCATACGCTTGTACGCGTCTAAACTGCCGGAATATCTAAACGAAGAAGAAGACGAAGCGCTACCGGCGGAGTGATACTCTAATTTTTGCACAGCACGTCGAAGCCGGGCAATTCTGCATCACCAACAATACGTTCTCCACATTTTCTTTACCGAATTAAATATTATATAACAGATTTGGATATACATTTAAGTCAATTTGTAAAGTAGATATCTCCTTTGTAAAGAAGAAGACCGTACCCTGGGTGTTTTATCATCTTTAAGGAGCTTGAAAAGTCTACAGGATGGTGAGTACGTGAACGTGACTACCGTTAGCATTGTTAGCTCATGTTAGCTATCATCGATTACACTGTTTTTTCATGAAATAATAACAACCACACATGATCGTTGTTGCATTAAAGTTTATATTCTGAAACGTAATTACGTCAACTTCATCCTCCAAAACGAGCAAGGGCAGCCTTTTTTGCGGATTTATTATCTTAATAAGTAACAAATACTGACATTGATTAACATGTAACGTTGCAGTTAAAACAGTTTATCACGTATTTTGTTTGGTGGTTTTGCTGCACCGAGGACACCGGCAGCAGTAATGTATTTAATATGTTAAACTGCGCAGCATGCACGACGTGATACAAGCAGGAAACAGGCCGCTCGTTTCCTGATTTAATGCCATATTAAGAGTGTTTGTAAATCCGTGTTGATAACTCTGATGAAGGTTTATTATTTGCAGCGTTTTATCGGTTCTTTGAGTAAATAGTGGGCGTGGTGGCGAAGTGGGTGTTGTGTTAAAAATAGACCCCCCCCCTCCCCCTCAAGATTTTCAATCCCTCTCGTTAATCTTCAGAGATTGACATCAAAACTGACAACTGAACTACCGTTTTGACATCCAACTAGTTGTTGCACTTCTCCCAGGGCAACCCCAGCAGGATGTTTTGACATGCGCAACAAGCGAACAATGGGTTGCCCTCGCCATCAATTGCGATTACATAAGAGCAATGCCCAGCGTTTTAGCAACAATTTGTTCGCCGTGGAGATTGTTGCATCGCCTCGGACTGTTTGTTCTTGCAACACCACAATGACAGCATCTCTTCCGTTTACGTATTGCGCCATAACGTTGCACCGCATTCTGCTCCTGCTGAATTCTCCTCTTTGCAACCCCTCCCTTCCCCCTGCATTAAACCAAACCGTGCTTGGTGCAATAGGCTGTCAAGACCTGCAGTGCACCCTCCAAAATGGTAACTTAAGTATTTTTTTGGGGGGGGGGGGTGGCACACTGCCTCTGTCTCTGTGTGTCATCTCTCATCATCTCAGTAGTGTCAAAGAACAGGCACATGGTCTGTGATAGAAAAATCCTCTTTAGTAAGAAAAGTTGGCTCCTACGTGCTGCAATATCGTTTTCAGTGACAAGCTGGTTGAATAGAATTCTGTATCTTCACTATATTATCAAGCACATGTAGTTTTCTGTGCTCACTAAAGAATATTTGGTATGATCTCTTTTTTTTTTTTACTGCTGGATCTGAAAGTCAAGGAGACTGTGTGGCTTACAAATCCTCTAACACTCATCTGTGCTCCACACACTACTTGCTTCAGCACCACTGAATTGGTTGGCAGTACAGAGAATAGATACTCCGCAGTCTGTCCTGCTCTCTTCTATTTTTTCCCCCACCCCCCCAACCCCCCGCCCCCACCCAACCAGCACCACCAGCAGCAGCAACCAGCATGGTGACTCATTGAAATTGACTCGAAGAACACATGGCATTGCTACCACCTCGAGCTACTGATGTGTTAGCTTTAATCTCTTTGGTTTTTGAAAACGCAAAGGTGTGTTTGAAAAGATGTTGTTAATTCGTGGTGCTGGAGCATGAGTAAGATATCTGCAGCTACATGAGATTAACTGCCTTAGTTGCTTATATACAGCCTTTTCTCCAATAAAAGAATCATTTGCTTCAGCAGTAGTGTAATCAGTTTATCCTCACCACTTAAATAACATCAGAACCAGGCTTTCAGTGAATTTGTTTTATGCAAGCTCACGTTTCAGCTGATTGCCAGTTGTGTGTCAGAGACGTCTTAGAATCACTTGCAGACATAATGAGGGAGCACACTGTCATAAAGCAGCAATCAACAGTTTCCACAGAGGTTTGTCTATGATGATAAACTGAGTCTCACATCTGTTCATGAAAAAAAGGCACAACGAGGTGCTTGCTCGTGGTGCTACTCAGTGTGCTACATTGGCGACCCTGTTCGAGTCTCACTAATTATAGCAGGGGTGCGTATTTTAGGCTGTAGAGTATTTTTACCCGTCCCTCATAACGCTTTCTCAGTCTGAAGTGGGCATGTTCACTGACTTAGACAGGCCCGGTGAGGCCTCATGTGGACGGCAGCATTATGTCTCGGCTGAAGTTTGAAATGAATGGAGTGTGTGAGACTCAAATATTGGTAAAAGCAGTCTTCAGAGGAGAGCACATGAGAGCGTCTGTTTTATGAGCTTCCTCCTGTGCTGCAACAGGTCTTACATTTGAGGTTAAACAGAAAACAAGACAAGAGTTTGTCAAAATGTGGATACTTTCTTGTACTTTTTGATACCAGGTTTTATAACAATAGAATAGCTGTTTTAATAATTAATTATAAAAATATATTCATTCTTATTTTTAACCCAAATCTGCCATGAGAGAAAGAAAGAGAGAGCGATGTCTTGAATGCAGAAATACTTTGGCGAGAGTTTCAAGAAGTTACCCAATACTGAGTGCCAAGGGCTTTTTTTTTTTAATGTTGCCATGGTATCAAAGAAAGCAGGTATCAATAGTGTTTAAATTTAACTTGCATTGTATCGAAATTCTAGAACAGTGATTACCCTATTTGAAAATATCCGCTTTATAAAGAAAGAATGTCTGTGTCTAGCTGTTTCATAGTTTCCAAGAGATTTTTTAGATAGTTGTGATCTACTTTTGTGTAGATAACAGAATATAACAACAAACATGATCAAATCTATGTCCAGTTGTGGTTAAAATGTCACATATACTTTATTTCAACAAGTTTAAATTAGTCTCAGAGCTCCCCAAAACATGTCTGTGAAGTTTGTTGCCAAAAATCCACTCTGATCCACTCTGGTACGATATCATGCCAATAAACCCCTCTATTTCAGCCGTGCTCAGAACAGGCTGTTTCTGTGTCTGTAGCTTTAAATGCAGCTGTTTAACCGCGCCCCTCTCTAGAAGAGGATGTGGCTCAGGCTTTCTTGCTCCATGCTCTGTTGTTGACGGTAAGAAGGCAGACTCGGAGGGCAGAACAGACACCTAGCTGTGGGTGTGTCTCCCACCTGGGGGAGGAGTTACTGCCTCTGATGTCACAAAGGGAAAATATCCAAACGGCCTCTTTCAGCACATATTTTCTGTGTGGAGCTGGCAAAAGACGGAGAGGATGGACTTTTGTCATAACACATATAAGTGTTAGAAAAACATGATGAAGAGTATTTTGCACATTTGAATCCATCTTGTTTTCATGATCGTGGGAAGCCAAAATTGAAATTGAAACTCGATTACACTAAAGGCACTGAAACTGTTGAGAGAGTGTATATTTTTCGACCACAAAGGAAAGCAGCTGTGATCAACATTAGATGTTTCATGTTGATATGAAACTGTGACAGAGGGGAAACAAACTCTCTTCTTTTAGACATAAATTACCCCTGTAGTGTTATATGTTTAAATGGTAACAGATTGAGCTGTTTATGTAGTATTTAGTTTATAATCATGACGTTAGCAATACTGAAAACACAATATAAAGAGACAGAATCAACCTGCGTCTCTAGAATCAGTGTGAAACTTGATTATTGCTTCTGAACAAATGTAGAATGACATTTTTCTTATATCATTACGCTTAGATGTGATTTTACTGTCTAGAGCGTGATATTTGATGATTTTCTTCCTGTAAATGTTGACCCATCCATGTGTACTTGTACCACCTTTACTCTATTTTTACATCAACCACCATAAGGGCAGTAGCTCAGTCTGTAGGGACTTACGTTGAGAACTGGAGGGTCAGTGGTTTAAGTCCCATTGTAGAAATTGGGCTGGTACCTGGAGAGGTGCTCTTTCCAGATCCCATTTCACTACCTGAGCACTGCAGAGGTGCCCTTGAGCAAGGTACTAAACCCCAACTGCTCAGGCAGTCTTTCATGTACAGACTGCAGCCATGTTTAAGCCACTAGTATTTTCTAATCCTTTAAAGATCCTGCAGCTTTTTAACAAGTGCCACTCGTAGCTCTCCGGGTTTCGTTGGCATAGGCTCACAGTTTACACACCTGAACCCCCCCAGGTAACTTGGGATCACTCCTGTGCTCCAGTTTGCACACTATTTCTGACCTGTTGAGTCTGCGTCTGCAGACATTTTTCCCCTCGATGTATCCTGTATGGTCCAGTATCCTCTTGTATACACGGTACACAACAGGGCAACAGCTGATCGCTGCAGGCAGAAGAACATGTATGTGTCGTAATTAGATTAATAAATCAAGACATGAGAAATAAAGAGGAAAAAGTGAGAAAATAAATATTTACATGAACAAAGATTCCCTTAATCTGAGTCTTATCGTTGACTACCTGTGTTTTATTAACGTCTTATTCTTTTAACAGGCTGATCAGCTGACAGAGGAGCAAATTGCTGGTGAGTGAACCATATTTCTTTGTTAAAATTCAGCACCTTTTCATCACAACACCTCCTAAGAAACTAAGATGTCTCAGGTTAGAGGAACCAGAGGGGGCTGTGAGGTGTTGGTTCAGGTCTGGTCCTGTTCCTGATACTGACTACGTTCCCATTCTGAAATCCGCCTGGAGTTCCACGTTGTGTCGTTTGTAGATTTAAAGTAGTTATTCACACTGTCAATAATGAAATGTTAATTTATTCTTTGAAATACGTTAAGTAGGGTGTCTGTATCAAAAACAATCTGCATGGGATACTAACAGTGTTATTTGTCGTATACAGAGTTCAAGGAGGCTTTCTCGCTGTTCGATAAGGACGGTGATGGTACGATCACCACCAAGGAGCTTGGAACTGTGATGCGTTCTCTGGGACAGAACCCCACTGAGGCGGAGCTGCAGGATATGATCAATGAGGTGGATGCTGATGGTGAGGATGACGTTAAACTTATTACAACATTATTTTTTCCCGCTCATCTGTATTTTTTGTAATATTCCTCCTTCAGTATGGTGATTTAAAGGAAGTACATATTGTGGGTTTTTCTTTTATACTTTCTGTTTAAAAAAAAACTGAAGTCTCACTCCAGCGTGAAATCTTGTTTCTTTGGTTTATCTTCCTTCTTAAAGAGGAGAATAATTTTTTTTTTTACTACATTGTTACCATGGTAGTGTTTTTCCTGTCCTCTAACAGCTTTGAAGTTTGGTTTGAAGACTGGGCCCTAGAAATGCTTCGCGCAGTACCGTCCTTTCTAATGAACTTTGACCTGACCCCTTATCGTCTCAGGTCACTACAGCGAGCCTATTTATTTAGGCTCACGAGTTATTTATGACACAGAGTTTCTACCGTAGTCTGATAATATTGTTTAGTTTTACCAGCTGAATGTGTACCTGGTGAAGAATGTATGCTATTTCTCAAAAAACAATTAGCAATCAGTATATGTACTCCACATTGTCGGGGAATGACTATGAAATCTCATAAAAATGACAATAACACAGCAGATGGATTTGAGGTCCTCTTGGATTGATTCTCTCTTTTTTTTCACTAAGATTATGTAATGACTTAAGTAACACAACAGTTCTAACCTCTTCGTATTCGTTGGCTGTGTAGGTAATGGTACGATTGACTTCCCTGAGTTTCTGACCATGATGGCCAGGAAGATGAAAGATACAGACAGTGAGGAGGAGATCCGAGAAGCCTTCAGAGTCTTTGACAAGGTACGTCAGGGTCAAGTGTTACAATTCACTTTTTTATCCAAAAGTGGTCTGAAAATGTAGGAAATGACAACAAAGACTTTCTTTTCAACTCTTTTTTTTTTTCTATTCTATCAAATGTCACAGCCATTTCATCTCTGTCATGGCTAGCTACCCTTTTTTTTTCTTACGACAAAACACGTTCAGACTCGTTCATGTAATATAGGCTTCTATATGTAGAGGGAGATTTCTACATAATACTCTGCTAGCCCATTTGGTTTTCCTTTGCCCCACTTTAAGGTGTATTTATGGATTTGTGTTGCTGTCACTGCTAGCAGGATTATAATCTATTGCATGCTCAGAGGCATATGTGTCAGCATTTAGCTGTAAATCCAGGTGAAGCTGAAGAAGTACAGTTTAAATGCTTCTACATTACTGCGTCTTTGTTTCTTCTTCCCTTGCCAATAACATACCTGATCTATGCCATCGAATTTACAGGCATAAACACAGAAAAACCAGTAAACTCTTATTTTTGGCACTGCACAAACTTTGACTTAACTGTCCCAGGACATGAAAGGGAATCTGAAATGAATGATAAGTGATGCTCAGCTATAACTACAGTGTAAACAGGGGTAAAAAAAAAAAAAAAACAAGCACAGTAACAACAGCTCTTCTATGTCCATCTGCAGGATGGTAACGGCTACATCAGTGCAGCAGAGCTACGACACGTCATGACCAATTTAGGAGAGAAGCTCACCGATGAGGAGGTGGACGAAATGATCCGTGAGGCTGACATAGATGGTGACGGCCAAGTCAACTATGAGGGTGAGATGTCTTTTTTTTCTGTTGCTTCAAAGAAAAATGTGTTACTTCAGTTTAAATTTGAACAAATTGAAAATGATGCACTACTACCACCGTGAAATAGGACTGATCCTCGTCTAGTCATCGCATTGTTGAAACAATTAATCGACTTATCGGATTATGTTTTGCAATTACTGAATGACTCTTATTTCTCTATTAGCAGTCACACTCAAAATATGACATTAAAAAGCCTAATTCAGCCATCTTTTAAACGTAACTAGTTTAATGGGGGGGAGTGAAAAAGAGAAAACATTTGAATTGAAATGTTTTAATGGGCGGGGCTGAAAATGTAATTAATAGAAAAATCACAGCGTGGCTTAATCTTTGGACTGTGAATATCAGAGATGATTTTTAAAAGATAGATGTCCAGGGTGCTTTCTCTTCAAATGCCCGCACATTACCAACATGCTACCATGACAAGCAAGGTCTGCTTTATAGATCCTGCTGGGATCTTTTTCCTCTACTGGGGGTAAATCATGTCGGTGTATGTATGTATTTATATTCAAGTCACTGAAGGAGTCGAAACAAACCTTCAGAATTGTCAATATACCAATGTATGCACTAGTGGAGGTGAAAGGGTTCATCTTTGTCTTCTGTTCTTTTCACAGAGTTTGTCCAGATGATGACTGCCAAGTGAAGAGAACAGTGAGATTTCTCTCAGCGTTGCTTGTCCTCCTAAGATACATGTCTTTAAGAACCAAAAAAGGAACAATTATCAAAATAGAAACACCCAAATCGCCCTTGAAAAAAAATCACTTCTCTGTCAAATTTTCCAATTTGTGCTTCAGTGCAGCCAACTACGTCTAAGGTATCTGTTTAGCAAACACCCAACAGAATAACCCCTAGAGAAGCTAATGGACCGAGCTTTTAGAGGGCTGAAGCCCCCATACTTCAGACCCAAGATTCTGCTGAGTCACCCTGCTCCTGATTAATTTAGAGGAAAGAGCAACACTGAAAAGGCAGCGGGATAGAAACCCCAAGCCACAGTTAGTACAAAGAAGTTGGCTGTTTTCAATCTTTCCCATATTCGACGTAACAAACGGACTCTCTTGCACCAGTGGTGACTCTTTAAATACTGAAATGAGTACTCTTCTTGCATGCACCCTTTCTGTGGCGGTCTCTTGTCACAACAAGGAGGCTCTGATGCGGTCAGAGGTAGTGGTCAGATCGTGTACACACTGGAGGTATATACATTACTATATAGCTATATATCTGTAACATTTGTGTCACTATGATTATTGCAAGAGCAAATAGCTGCAACATAGGGCGTTCATTGGTGCTCGGTCAGAGATGAGCACCGAAGAGTTTGGACAAGGAAGAAAGACTGGAAATTGCTGATGGTTTTTTTTCCCCCCTCGGGGATGTGATACTGTCTTGTTTATGGAGGGGGGGGGGGGGGGGTGGGCTGTATGTTGCCCACAGCACTGATTGGAGACAGCAGTATGTTGTCATGCTTCAGGGGGATGGTTGTGAAAACACACTCGAGGACTGCAGTTGAAACCTTTTGTTCTTCAAACAGATATCCTGATACTATATTGATGTAATGCTTTATATCTGTGTTCTCAAATATTAATGTATTGATGACAAACTTTGGTCACAAAATATATATATATCGATCTATATTAGTGTGTCGTAAAGTTTGCATTGCCTATTGTTGTAGTAAATGACCTGTGACATGTTTTCTCTTGGTTTTGAAATGTGCCATAATACTCTTGAACGCCTCAACCTTCTTGCAAGACTTGTAATTCATTAGAATATAATACATCTACTTAATATAATAACATGTAAAAAAAACATGCAGTTGAACATGTTTGCACTTTGGTATAAACCACGTGGATATATTGAAAAAAAGGTTTGTTCTAGAAGATTAAAAGAAACCAAATGTCACTGCTTCTGTTGCCATGACAAACACGTGTTCTACTCATTTGTCGTCCTTGTTGGTGTCTGATCTTCAATTTGTAGTCCGGTGATTCAAACTTCAACCTGCTTGCTGTTTATTGAACAGATTAAAAATACTGTATATTAACGAACACAAACTTGTAGTGGAGGTGATTTCATTTGGGCTGTAAGACCGGGAATTTCAGAGACGGAGGGGGTGTAGCAAAGAATTCAGCTTTTATGGGAGAGATTGGTTTCAGTGTTTGGAAGAGGTTGGGTCAAAATTTAAGAAGCGGGTTATCTGAGGTATCACATGATTCCCTCGAAAACATCATAATTAGATATTGTTGGAGGCGCTTTAATTGGTCATCTTAGATTCAGATGAATGGAAGTAAAAGGTAACTGGACTGTTAACTTCTGAAGGTGTCTCAAAAATGTAAAGATGTGATATATTTTCCATAAACCAATAAACTGACTGAGCTTTAGTTGATCTGCGTTTCATTGTCATGTTTATGGACTCTTAAACATCCTGTTAATATTGTCTTAAAGACGATGCCATTTACAAAATCCACTCTTTGATGTAACAGTTGTGGCACTGTCTCCCATCCTTGCCTGTGTCTCAGTGCTGGAGAGAGGAGCTCTAATCCCAGACAGTCTCAGACTGGGTCGGTGCAGGTCACCCTGGCCCTTCACTGGAGAAACTAACCCAGGCGCAGGCTATATTTAGCGGCTCATTACACTGCTCCAGGAGCCTGAGGTAATCCAGGTCAACCAGGGTCAAGACCCCTAACCCTCGTACTCTAAATGCAAACAAGGAGCACTTGCCTTTTTACTGACAGGCAGGTTCCAGAGCAAATGGGATGAGGTTTTATCTGGGCCAGGTCGATGTGATAGGCTACACACTAATCGTGTGGTTAAGTAGATAAGGTAAATAAATAAGGAAAAGGATGAAGCACACTCAGCAGAACAATGATAACTGCAGGATCACAGGCATGGGGAGGTGTGATAATCTCTCTGTGTGGTTGTGTAACTGCAGAAGTTCACTGGTTTTATCTCCCACTGTGTTGTGCAATAATTCTCACAGGGAGCAGTGAGGATTACAGACTTTTTTTTTTTTCCTTATCTTTACTACTTTATTTTAGTCTTTTATATCTAAGTTTATCTGGTAACCGTATGATCTGAATGTTATGACAATACAGCGTGTTGCATAATAACCTACCCAAGAATAAATAAAGCTATTCAAAAGATTGAGTATACTGCTTAGAGCTCCCGTGAGGAGATTTTAGATAGTTATGAATCAGAGTTAAATTGACATTGATGCCTCTTTATCACCTGCAAAAGCCTTTTATTACATTAACCATGAAGTACCACTGTGTCCACCGGGGGCGCCAAAGGAGCTTTAAATGATATTGCATCAATAATGACGACACTACCTGTTAATAGATAAGTAATGTAACAATAATGCGCAGTTCTGCCAAATGTTGATATTTTAATTTAAATACATTTCCACCACTTCATAAAATCATGTTCTGAGGACGACTGGGAAACACAGCTGTCAGAAATGTATTGGCTATTTGAACAATAGCCAAGTAAAAGAAGCAGCACAGCACTTTTGCTGAACCGACACTCTACAATTACCACAGAAGTGTATGACATGTCGCCTACTCACAGAACTTGTACTAACAGGATATGTTTTTCTTCACTGTAATCTAAAACATCTTTGGCATCTTAACTGCACTAAGGTCAACAGGGAAGTCCCACAACATGATATTGTAGAAATGATTGACTCCAACACTAGGTGGTGCTGTTTTATCATCCACAAAACCAAACTAACCCTCTCTAAAGAAGGACAGGTGCAGTACATACAGTGTGGACAGGACAGGAAGAGATCAAGCAAAATGACTGAACAGCTCATTAAAATGATTACAATTTTTTTTAATGAAAGTTGATTAAATGCAGCTTGTTTTGAGCCGCACACCTTTCTTAAAATGCTGACACGAGGTGTGTTTTTGAATGTGTGAACATGGGTGTGTGGTAGGTTATTAATGTGCTTGCTTGGTGTGCACCACACCCTGTGCCCATAGTTGTGTCCAGGTTGCATTGTAACCTAATAGTCCTTTTGCAAACACTGAGTATTCCTTTTTTTGTCTCATGCTTTGAAGAGGAGGTTGTGTAGTATTACAGTATGTAAACTTTACCAAACAATGCAACTGTTTATAGGAGTAACAGATACGTGCAGTACATTTAACATAGTTATAGATCTTTGCATAATTCCTCCTTTCTGAGAAAATGTTTATACAAAATTGTTGTTTGGAGGTTTTTGCTTTATTTGCAAATGACCCTTACTTTGCACATGACCACAGCAACATTGTGAACACGTTCACTTAGTTCTTTCTTCTTCTTTTTCACATCATTACAACCACTGGTGTCCATGTTCTGTCTGTTACTGAGCAGAATGCAAAAACAGAATAAACAAAGACTAATAGAATTAATACCTGTTTGTTAAGTTAGCCACAGGGGACAGGCAGTATAGGGAAAGGATCCACAGCATTGCTTCTGCTCATCATCTAAGTCTTGATGAATCCGTTTTCTAGCTTTCACAGAAAACAACATGGCTCAAAGTAGTTTGAAGGTGTGGGTGTGCCTTGATTCAGCCCTTACATGTGTACATCCTGTACACTCATAGTGTGTGTGATCATGCCCATCATGATGCATGACCACATTGAATGAAACTGTACTGTGACCTTTAAGGATACCTTCCTGCATAGTGGCCTAAATATGCAGATTTCCTATATTCTATTTTGTTTGGACTTATTTTTCTATCTTTCTACCATCACAGAAAGGTTGATAAGAGGCTGTTTTTTGTTTTTTTTACATAAAATACACAGGTTCCTGCCTGAAGCAAACCGGGGATTCTGTGGTTCTGTGGTATCCTACCACTAGGAATATTCTCCAGAATGACACACAACGTTGCTGTCATTTACAGTATTCACCACTGAACTGGAAACAGATGTTCATGGTAAAACATTTCTCACAGAATTTTTTTTTTTAACTGAGTGTGTATTGAGTCATTTGCATTTATTTTTATTCTCTAAAACCTGTGTTCAAAAGATTGAGCAGTAAAATAAAAAAATGAAAAACTGTGTTTTTTAGGTTTTCATTAAACTGTAAATATTCTTTACTAATGATTAAAATGTCAAACTAAAAATGTGAAAGCAGCTCACCTTTGGAAGTTTATATAGCTTTTTAGGGCATTGCATTTAAGAATTAAACCGTACTGTTTAGATAGAAGTTCTTTATGTGCTTAAATCGTGTTTTTGAGGGGAAAAAACTCCTTGGAAAGTATTACAGTAAAGTAGACTGAGACATTGTAGCCTATATGTGTAATATGGTATCATATGTCATGATGTCACGATGGCCATTTGAACATGCTTCTATGACTTTCTCTTGCAACATTTCAGTTATGAGTTATTCAGTCATGTGCTGCAGTACTTTCCTATGACTATATACTGTATATCACTACCACAAAGAACTTTTATTGGACAACCTAAAAAAATCTGCTGAACAAAATCATCTCATACATTTAAAATCAGAAATTAGTCTGTGTTGTAACAACAATTGAGCCACTGTCTACAAGACGGTGATGATATTTTAAATAGGATAAAGGACGAGTCACTCCTCGAAACTTTAGAAACAAAGATTTAATGTGGAACACTCGAAGAAAAAACTTTCACCTTTCCAGAAAATGTTCCCCTGGCCTTTCAAGTTTGGTTGGTTCCTAGAATGTTTTTATTCTATCAATGCAAAAAGGGAAGCAGGGCTTTAATTGGGAAACTCCCTCATGACACTTATTTAACTGAAAATAATGTAAAAGACTTTCTGTTTTTTTCTTGACTTAACTTGATTTTTCTCCTAAATCAGCGCCACAATAATGTACAGTAGGGAATCATGAACGAGCCCGCTGGACAGATCCATTCGTTCAGTTCCTGATCCTCACTTAACTGTCAGTCTATCAATTACTGGAAAGATTAAGCAAAAGGGAAGTGAAAACGTATTTCTTTCAACACATCTACGAAGGGAAACTACAATAAATATAAATGTTTCTCGCTATCTTAAAGAGAAAGTGTCAAAATGGTATTTAACTTTGGCCGTGTTTCATTTTCCCCTTTAGTGGGATATGACGAACAGCTACCAAAGAGTTCAGCAGAAATCCTCCGAGCGCTGCATTTCTTATTTCTTACTTAGTGAATAATAACCACACCAACATTCCCCTGGCGTGAGTGTGCTGAAACAGTACAACCTTTCATACAATCACTTCATTAAAGCATTCATAATGAGCATCTGTTTTATACACTCATACCAAGCGACATGAGATGTGATGAATGAAAAAGAAAAGGTCAATCCCTGCCTGTTTGCACACTGCAACACAACTATAGTTTTTACACTTCATGGTGGCTTCAAGTGGCTTCTTAATATTTCAAAATCAATCCGACAGATCGCCCTCTGTTTCATTCTAAGGTGATTTTAAATCCTTTAGATGAATTGACAACATCTTATAAGGCCCTGTGATGAGTTTTAAGCTGGCTATGAAACATACTTGAATGAATGTTGATAGAAGTTTATCACATTCAAAAGCAAATGGGACCACAAGAATAATAAACGACTATTTCTATCTGGTTATTTTAAACGCCAAGGCACTGCCGCGGGGTAGGTGTCTGACAAAGATATTTACTGCCAAATCAAATTTTCTTCTACATTTTCCCTAGTAAGAATCTGAATAAGGGACACATTTGTCTGTTAGCTGAAATTTTTTGTCAAAAAAAAACCCCACAACGTACACATGTACTATACAAGATCAGCAAATACATTGGAGATACGGTTGTGTCCACCACAGGGGGCGCCAAAACCGCCACAAATGAAAGTTCCTCATAAGAGCTTTAAAGAACACTGAGGCCTTGCACTTGCAAAAATCACGTCTTGAAAGTTTAGCTCTAAGAACCAAGAATCACCTTGGTCTAAGTGTTCTGTATTTACCGTTAAATGTTTAATTTCATTCTTGTGCTCCCAAGAGAAGCTGAGTCTGATGGTGATGGAATTCAGCATCCTAAATGTCAGTCTGTTGGCAGAAAGCAGAGTCTGAGATGACGCCATGCCAGCCGAGGCCTGTTTGGACACAGGCTGCAGCAAGAAAAGCTTCTGTCATCAGAGAAACATCTACAGATTCCATTATGATTGATCTGCATCAAACAAGGTAAGCTAAAGCAGGGCTGGCCCATTACTTTTGCATTATAGGTGTCTGTGTATCGTCGAGATGGTTAGGAAAAACCTAATCTGTGTCAGTTTCCACAACACAATAACACTGTCTGTGAAATCTTTAAATGACTCTACAGAATATTATTTTTAGGGCAACAGTTCAGACTTTGGCACACTACTCCTTTATAAAGTATTGAATTAAAAAGGAAAGTAATGGATGGGCTGAGGAGTTCAACA